TCTGCATACTCCCAGGATTCGTTTCTACACAATCTCAATTACTCGACCTTGGCCCACGTGAATCTGAGGTAGTTCTAATTGATCCATGCTTTGCAGCCATCAATTACCAACAATTTGATCGCCTTTTTATTGTCGATGACGAAGATCGACTAAGGGAATGATAAGACAACGAGAAACGTGCTATTTGGCAAGAAAATCGTAGTGGTTAGACAAGAAAATGTGGAAGGTAGTAAAAAAATTCCTAGCTCATGAGAGATCTGCTAATGTGAACCGAGAGCATTTTCTTAACGTGCTCCACAAATTTAACCCTTATATAATTTTTTATTGTATTTGAGTCTTATTTTAGGTAAGTTTAATGTAATTTTATGTTGATTAATTGATTTATTTATTTGGTTAATTCTTTATATTAATCTATTTCCCTCGATGTGATAGTTGTATAATATATGGGAGGATAAAATTATTTGATAGTTGTTTCATATATAAGATAGACATGCTGTTTGTAAACTTGAGGAACAATATTAGTAGTTTTTAGTGAGTAGCAATGAAAAGAAATAGGGTATAATGAAGCCATGGTTTGATACTATCATTTTACATGATTGCGGACTGGCCTAAACCTATGCCGAAAAGCACCATTTATGATTTGAACCCAAATGATGATGAGATCGAGCAAAGGCAGCTAGGCATGCAACCCCTGGAATGGAAGGATCTTGCATGTTCGCTTCCTGGACATAATCATGAACCATTTTGCCATGCTTTCCATTAATTATCATAATCATCACCAATTCATCATCATCGTCATAATCATCATCATTTCTTTCTCTCTCATGTACCATTTCTAATCCTGGGATGCTGTTTGATGCTGAAAAAGAATGGGACAAAAGACCCCAAAAGTACTGCGTTTTAGTGAGAAAAATTATGATGACCATCATCATTAAGAACAACTTCATCATAGATTTATAATAATAATTTAACGTTTTATTGGCTAATCAAATCCATGTTTGAATTTTTCCACTTTCCCCAAAGTTTGACAAATTTATCTCCTAACAATAAAGTTAACTGTTCCATCCTTGAAGACTCTTGCATATACTGTCTTAAGGCTAGCTATTTTTGTTTTACTTGTAAATATTCCTTAACATGAATTTTCAGGTACGAACATATACCATTAAGAAAAAAAATATTTGTTACTCATTTTTAATTTTAAAATGTATTTAAAATATAAAAATATTAATATAAAATGTTTTTAATATTTTAAAAATATTTTCATATTTAAATGGGTGGATTAGACTAAATAGACCAGGCTTGAAATTTAAAGATGCCTGGCAAGGCGGGCTTGGCCGGTCCCTAATCACCTCTAAACGTCATGTATTCTTAAGCTCCATGTAGGTAATCTTTCACCTCAAGCAATTTTTTTTTTTTTCTAAAAAGAAATTTGTAAAGGGAATTTCCTCATGTTTTTAACAAGGGTGGACTTTATAATATATAAAATTCTCAACTATGAGATTTATGGACTTCAAATTATATGGTTTACAAGAGGTTTTTGAACATTTTGCATGCATCCTTGAATTGTTCAATCCTGGTAGTCTTGATCAATGTATATAATTGAAATTTCGTTTTTAGACAGACAAACGCTATATTTTTATGTTTTTTTTCAATTGCTTGCCTTCAATTTATATATTATACTATACTATATGAACAAGCAAATCACAAGAAAAAGGATTTATGAGCAGGTTTTCAGTGCTCTAAGCCTAATCATTAATAAACATCGTCTCCTCTATGTTATTATTACAATTATTTGGTCATGCATCATCTAAGTATTGACTGGTCAATTAATTTGATTTTCCGACTTTTGGTTATTAAATATATTTATTATAAAATTTTTAATTATTTTTAAAAGATAACATCTAATAAATATATAATTCAAAATATAACACATGCAACTTCTTTTTATATCCTTAAACCGCAGCATTTTTTATATAAAAAATATATAACAAAAATGCCGTGTTTTGATTCCCTACTTGGTTGCTTTAAATTTAAAACTTAAGGATTGACTGAGATGGGATGGCATTTGAATAGGAAAAAAAAAATAATACTATGATTGAAGAGTCTATTTACTAGAATTTATAGTTGAGGAATCAAAGTGTTTTTGACCAATCAAGAAAGAAATGTTATGAATTGAGGGCAAATTATTTTAAGGTCATGGACTAGTCTTTTTGATAAAAAAAAGAAAGTCCTTAATTTCTTCTAATAAAACATTTGAAGTCCAATCAATTTGGATTATATAATGAAAGATAACTCGTTTTTATCCATAACTTTGCAAAATTTCTTTTCGAAATTTCTACCTTAAGATTTCAATATTGAAATTCAAACTCTAGTAATGTTAAAAACTTCTTAAGGTATAGGCAAATTTGTATGATCATAACTTGATTCGTATTATCACCAGATATTTTGCTTTATAAATATCATGCTTAGGTCAATCTTACGATTAATCTCTCTCATTAATTTGGAATTATATTAATTATCATGAAAATCACAAAAATGAAGAAGTTATGATGAGGAATGTTGACCGTTGAACTATGAATGCCTTCAAGCTTACTCTCTCGTGTGCTCAATCATTCTCTTTGTATCCAACAATCATTGTTTTCGTCCCCAAATTTTTTTCCTTTTTCCAGCTTTTAATACTTTTGTCCACCATTATTGTTGTTATTATTATCATCTTCATCTTTCCCATCATCATCCTCGGCATCATATTCAACCAGTCATGACCATAATCTTCCTGTAACTTATGAGACCAGAAAACATGTTATGTTATCCCCATTTAAAATTGTGCCACCACCCTGTTTTGCCTCCGGGCCTCTTGAGGTGGCCTTACATAATAATCCTGTTTCCTTTTTTGGAGTAATGTAATTATTATAGTCTCACCAATTTTCTCTTTCAATCTGGATTTTCATTAATTTTTATCAATATATACAGAGTTATGGGTTTTTAGTTTTTACACTAATTCATTCTACATTTACCACTTTTTTTTTCCTTTATGAAATTGTACTTGAAACAAAAATTTTCTTGTACTTTTACTTGAAACAAATTCAGATGGTGAGATCATTGTTGATTATCATTTAATGCAATTTTTTAATTGAAAGAAAGTGCAGATAGAGTCAAAATAAAGATTTTAGGTGGTAATTGTCTTTGATTAATATCCAAGACGGAAAGGAAAATTATTATCTTGGACATTAGAAGAACACGTTATGTCAGATTGGTTATTTGCTGTCAAGAAGCTTTTGCAATCACCAAGTGACAAAAACCTTCTTTATCAAATAGTTCATGAGTGTCAAAATTTAATAAAGAGGGATTGGATTTCTTTTCTAAAACATGTGTATAGAGAAGCGATTTTTGTGGGACTGATAAGTTAACGTTGATCAAGAAAGTGAATTTGGAATTTGGCTTCTGCATTCTCTTCCAGATGATTTACTCAAGTTGTTGCATGATGATTTTTGCGAAATGTCTAGGTCACGAGAATGCATAGTGTAAAGCAAGCAATCGCTTTTTAGTACCAAAAAAAGAATTATGAGTTGGGTTTTTTGTCTAAACAATTATAGTTTTGAATGCTTCAAAAAATATATAAATAAACGCAAACACAACATCGTATAAGTGTTTTTATTTTTCCATTTTTAAACTTTTCTCTAATTATTATTTTTATAATTAAAACATTTACTTTTATTAAAATTTTAATTTACCCTTAGTCTCCCAATCCTTATATACCTAACTCACGGGATGAAGATATACGAGTTTAAGTCTTTTTTACGCTATAACTTCCAAAATTCTAATTAGTATGCATACCATCTGTGCTTGACTAATTTGTTCAGGTAAACTGATCTTTCATACAAAAGGAAATAAATAAATAAATAACAGTTAGTATAACCTTTTGCTCTATCACTTGGGGTTTACATTTATTGGGGACAGCAGGGAATTCCAAACTTAAAATTTTCCTATAAGAAGAAGTGGTAGCAGGTAATGCCTCGAGGTATTTGTTTTCCACTTTCCCTATTTTTCGTGGGTATATTTTGTTTTCTCTTTTGTAGAATAGGATGGAAAAGTAATACCTCTAAAAATGTAAAGCTACTGGCCATGGAAATCAGAAGGCAGTATGATCATTTTTGGGCCCAAATTCTTCCGCTACACAACTCCAGATTTCACAAATGGGAGCCTGCCCTAGATTGTGATGTTGACACCTCTTTCCGTTCATTTTCCGAAAAGCTATACATATATACCAAGGTCCAAAGTCCTTTCAGTTGAAGCACTTGAAGCCCAGTGTCTTCAGATTTTTATTAATTTCTCTGTACCAACAACTAGAACATAATTAATTATTTACAATATAAAATTATATAAGATTTATCCAAATTTTATACGCAACTCATGCTTAAGAACAGTGAATTTTTATATAATTTTTTGTTGTAATTGAATAATTGTATGCTTATAGTAAAACAATTATATTTAAAATGCTCTAATAACAAATGCATCTCACCAGAGCTAAAGCCGGATTCTTTCTTTCAAATAAAATAAAAATCATGTAAGATTAAGAACTAAAGAGTGATTCGGTTAGTGGAAAAAATTAAGAAAGGAAACCTGACGAAAGAAAATGATAATCATGCGAGTTTTGCTGGGTTAGGAGGTGAAAGAGATTGGCTTATTATCCCAACAAATTCTAGATTACTATAATAATTGTAGGAATAAGAGTGAAATATGCACAAGGTAGAAGAAAGAGAATTCCGAATTGGTAATTGGCACAAGATCAAAGACCTTAAAACAAATTGACAACAATGGCCAAAAAAAAAAAAAAAAAAAAAACAAATTGACAAATAACATCCTAGGATGATTAGATAAAATGTGTAGTCCAAGAGTGAAATACAGATTTGAAACTAAATTTTGGAGGCAAGTAAAAATCATATCTTTAGCAGATTTCCTTAAGAAATAAAGATAAAAGGAAAAAAGTGGAAGAAGACATCTGAAAGCAAAGATAATCAGATATATGAAGCTTGCATGGTTATGTACCGCGAGAATGAAGATGGGTCTACTAGCTCCGTACAAATTTGTTTTGCCATACAATATGAAGGACGGACCCATAGGAAAGGATGATAACATTTCAATTCACATAATGTGAGCATAATATATTTGAGAGCTTTATGATCACTCTGGTCAAAAAGCTGAATTCTATGTAAAGTAAAAGCAATATATATGGAATGCAGCTAAAACTATCCTTGAGCAGTTCCAGGGACATGAGATGTGATAAAAGTCTTTCTAGTTCCTAATTTAGTCGTCTCCTTCTATGGGCACGAGAGTCGCCACTGTCAACATCCAAAACCCTGGAAGCATCATTTCTTCTTCCAGAAGATGAAGCTGAAAGTGATACCACAGAGTCTATTTCAGCAGCAGTGTCCATTTGACTCTCCGAGTTTATTACAGCGCCAATGCTTGAGAAAGAATCTCTATCATCAATTGGTGGTGGCTGCTCCTGATTTCTTCCCACTGGGTTGCTTGGAAAATATGTCTCAACCAACCTTTCTGCTGATCTAAGTGCCGATGACAGAGAAGTAAGTCTTGCAGCTCTTCGCAAATGTAGTTGTCGTTGTTGAAGGTAAAAAGAATGAATCCGTGAGGACACAACATCAGTACCAGTTACACTGCTAGGTGTCAAGTCAACATCATCAAGGGACGCAACTGTATTTTGTTCTCCATGCAATCCAGCAGACATCAAAATCCTATTAAGGACGGAATTAGTTCTTTCTGTAGTTTCCCGGGTACCATTGGCCTCCACTGGTGGAGTCAGGTCACGGGTCAAATCAAATCTGCTTCCAAGGCGGCGAATCATCTCCTCCACAGAAAGATTTAAAGAAGTCCTTTGAATAGTTTGCCTCCAACTGTCCACCCGTTGTCCAGCGGGCCGAGGAGGGATTTTAAGACCTGCGTCCTCTTCTGGCTTATGGGAAATGTTCCCCCGACCATATATTGGGGTCAGAGTTTTAACTGTCACCTCTCCCTTGCAGACAGGACATTCCTTCGCATCTGAATTCACATGTAGCCGGTAGAGGCAAGACCAACAAAACAAGTGACCACAACAAGTTACAACAGGTTCGCGAGCCAAATCCAGGCATATATTACAATAAAAAAAACTCCCATCATTGCTGAGACCCTTCTCAATATCATCCCGTTTTTCTGAAACCTCATCCTCCAAAAACCCATTGGTAGTTTCAAATGATTTGGGTACATCAGTCGTTCTTTCCTCGGCAGCAACACTGCCCTCACCTGACTGTAACGTACTCACATTGCCTGAATTCCCCATAAATTGATCCAATTCCACAGAGAGGTTCTGAGTTGCAGCAGGACTTCGAACCCGCTGGCATCTCCATCGCCTAAGCCTAACTGCTTCTCTAATCCTATCAAACCGGTTATCAACCAAATCATCCCAATTCACACCTTCATTCGACAGTGATCCTGACCCTGTCTCATGAGCAGGACCCAGATTCAAATCAAGATTCATTGTATCAGATGTTTCCTCACCCATGGCAAATGCTTCAAAAAAACCCCCCTTTTTGACCCCAGATAAAACCAACTTATAATCTTCGCAGGTTTAAGATACCCAGATATAAAAACCTTAAATTTACCCTAAAATTAAAGAAACCCATATCACAGAATCATAAAACTTAACAAACCCAAATCATCAAAATCGTAAATTTTACCCTAAAAACCAATAAAACCCAAATCCAAAAACCATTCCTTGATCACAAATTCATCAAACCAATAAAAAAAAAGTAAAACCCTAATTTCATCGCAAATATCAAGAAACCCAGATCTAAAACGCAAATTCACAACCTCCCAAATTAAACTACCTTTAAGTCATCAAGGTGGTGACTTTAAATACAACAACAAATAAATATGGAAATTTTATAGTAAAAGCAAACTTCTAGAAGAAAAAAGAAAGACCTTGTCTTAACAGCTGACGACCTTGAGCAGCAATCCGAGCTTTTTACGTGCCCGGAGTCACTGAGTTGGATGGTGGGAGCTGTTTCTGAGTTAAGTTGGGTTCGGCTTGACTCGCCATGGATTGCTATCTTTTTGGGTCATTGATCTTTTCATCTCGTTCAGAGAGAAGATAGGGGGAAAAAAAGAGAGATAAAAAAGTAGGGAGAGAACTCAAGCCCCCAATGAAGGAGAGAGAGAACTGTATTTGTGTACCTTTTGTAATCTAGGGGGGATCACAGGAGATTATAAGTTGTTAAATAGTGTATTCTTTGAATTTCAACTCACATTACAGCAGTGCATTGACAAAGAGACGTTTGGTTCGGGGAAGTCACAAATTTTTTTCAGAAGTTTTATTGATGAATATTTGATCGTTTAAAATAATTTAATTATGAGAAAAAATCACTAATTTTTAATAATACTCAAAATTTTATATTAAAAAATTCACATTCTTGTGATATTTTAAAATTTTAAAAAATATATGTTATTTTTAAATTTGATTTACATAAAAAATTATAAAATAATTGTTATCTTTTTAAAAAATTCATCTGAAAATGATTACAATTCAATTATAAATTTTTTAAAAATTAAATTTTTTATATATTACAATTAATAAAGTTTTTATAAAAAAATGTTTTAAATAATCAATTATTTAAGGCATTTCGATTGATGAAATACCATAAACGATGATTATTTAATATATTTTTCTCAATAAACATCTTAAATCATGTTTATTATTTAAAAGGTATCAAGATTAAAAATATTTTTAAATAAAAATTTAATAATCAATTAAATTTTTTATATTTTATTATAATTATTAAATTTTATGTATTTTATTTTTAATTAGTTAAATTTTTAAATACCTATTTTTATTTAATTAAATTCTTATTGCATGAGAATGTAATAAAGAAATTTTTATCGCATGGTTCTTTTTACGTTGTGGTGGAAGAAATTGAAACTTTTATTACATCGTTTTAATCATTTTATAACTTGATCTTTAAAGATTTAGATCATAAAATGTATTATAATAGGATGAAAATCGCTCTTACCAAGTTGCCAAGAATTAAATTTTTTTTCTTCTTAACTAACACTTGGAATATGATTTTATCCCATTTATGCTTTTCAAAAACTTTTACTAACATTTTGTCTTTTGTTGGATTTTAATGATAAAAAATTGCATTTATAATTATAATCACTTTAGAAAAACAAAAAAAAAAATGTTAAAAATATAATTTAGTGAAAAATGATTACATTGTAATCGTAAACTTTTTGTGTTCCAAAGTAGTATTTGTTCGAGTTTTATTTTTACATAATTAAAATGAAATAAAACTATAATTTTATTGTATTTTATATTAAAAATATATTTAATGTTTTTTAATATTATAAAGAAAAAATAATGAAAAATGAAAGGTATTAATGTTAATAATGAAAATAAAACTTCATTTTTTTTCAAACATATAAAAAAATGTACAAAGAAAATGTAATAAGGGGACTACTAGTTAGTTTGCAAATTGATTTCATGATGAAAGTCTATAGTGATGGTTTCTTCCCATGTTAGCCTAGCTGTTGTTATAATTATTTATAATGAATCCTTTATTTATGGCTCTAAATTGGGTAAGGGAGATATATTATTGGTACATTAGTATTCACCCGCGCTTCGCGTTGAGTAGTTTATTTCAATTTGACATATTTTTGAGAGAGTAAGAGAAAGTATCATTCTATTTTCATTTTAATGGGATAAAAAACAATGTAAACTTGCATTTGACTATAATAAACTCATTTTATTTGCATATATTTAGAGTATAACAAACTCATTTTATGCAGTGAATAAACAATTTGCATATGATCACAATATGAAGTCGATGACATAATGTATCAATTCAAATAATAAAAGACATGGCATCCTATGTGCCTTAACTTCAATCAAAGTCATAAGAAAAATTCTTTATGAAAACTTGCTATTAATTAATATTTTTTATGATAACTTATTTTAAGGAATTCAAAACCGCAAGTTAAAAAAAAAAAAAATCTAAATGACTAAAATCTAAATGAAATTGAATGACTAATCATTTAGATAAAAGTTTCTACCAAGCTAAAGTTGATGGGTGAAACTAAAAGGTTTAAGGACATTTCTACTAAAGTGGTGAATCGTAATTAATATTATCAAAATTTGCCCTGAAAATCAAATTCATATATTATGCCCAAGAACGAAATATGTAATACCATAATTATATTGAAAGTAACCTTGAAGTAAGCATTAGGAAAAATAACTATAGAGAAACATGCATGAAAATAGTGTGTTAACATGAAAAATAATAAAATAGAGAGCATTAGTTGTATTCACATTCACATAAGACATTAGAAAATAAAAAATAAAAAACTGCCAAATGGGATCCCTGACAGTTTCTAATTAATTGATATCAACAATATTTACTGCAACCAATCTTAATTATTGAAGGAGATGTTTAATCTGAAAATGAGTAAATCTTATGTTTATTTAAGTTTGACAGTAAACTTTTTACCTGCCACTTGACATTATAAGAAGTTAAACTCAATCCTTCAATTGAAAAAGCAATAACAATATAGAAGTACAATCAAAAGCAAAACCACTTACATACATCATAGCAATATCATAATCCAATAAACATGTTATTTAAAAAAGTAACAATACTATAATAAAAGAACAATAAAAAGCTAGTCTCAACGTTAATTGACAAAATATCTTCAACAATCTCTAAAAAAAAAAAAAAAAAACAATCTTAATAACAATTTAACAACTCAAACAAAAAACAAAATCAAAATGGATTTTATGCTTTAGAAGTCTAGTGACTTTCTTGGATAGCATAAAGACATTACATCAATAGTTTTGCATGATAAAATGGACTAAATTTATAAGTTGTAATCAACCAACAAAAGATAAATGTTTGATTGTCCAACTCTCTATTTTTTTTCATAATTCTATCTATTAGAGGTTTAGCACTACCAGAAATATCATTATTACTAACAAAATATTTTTGTCAATAATTATTGATGAATTACTGATAGAATACTGATGAAATATAATTGTAAAAAAATTTGGGTATCATTAACAAAATACGGATGAAATTTACTTATGATTTAATTTTGTCAGTAATTTGTAGATAAAAATATGACATAAATTATCACGAAAATTATTGACTAAATTTTCCTTTCGTGATTTTATCGATAGATTAGTAACAAAAAATTCAGTTAGTAAAAAAATTTTTGAAAAATATTTTTTTATGGTTGTCGATTATTAATGAAAATTTTCATCGGTAATCCATTGAAAAATGTCAAAAAATTTGAAACCCTTCATTTCTAGATTCGAGAAATCCCAAATTCCATTTCTCTCACTCTTTTCCCTCTCTCCCCCTCTCTAGCGTGAATCCCCTTCTCTCATTATTGGCTGGCGGTCATCCCCTTCTCCACTATCAGTAATAAGCTTCTTGATTTTTCAAGTTTTATTTATTTATTTGTTGAGTTTATTGTTCAAATTTTTGTTATAGATTTGTTGAGATTTGTTAGGTTTTTTTTGCATAAATTTGTTTAATTTTTGTTTGGTTAAACTTTTTGTTAATTTTTGTTAGGTTTTTTATTGAGTATTATTAATTTTTGGGGTGTTTTTTTGTTGAGTATTATTGAGATTTGTTAGATTTTTTGTTATAGATTTATTAACTTTTAGATGTGTAAGATGTGTATTAAGATTTTATGGTAAATTTGGGTTTGATGTGTATTAAGATTTATATTTGTTTTGAAAAAATTTTATATTTGATTTTTTTAAAATTTAATAATTATTATTGAAATAAAAAAATTATTGTATTGATAAAATGTTAGTAAAATTTATAATATTAAATAGTAATATGATTTGATGTACTTAAAATTTGATTTTTAATTTTAGGCTCACTGTAGGAAAATGATCATTTAGTGGCAGTTTTTTAGAGGCATTTCACTAATAAACGTAGCAAACTTTTGTATTTTTATAAAGTTAGCAGTGTTTTTTTAATAAAATGCCATTGAATTCTTATATAACGGCATTTGTAATTAAAAACGCCACTAAAAGCATACTTTAGATTTAGATACAATGTAGGTATTGTAAACCTCATATTTAAATTTCGATTATAATCATTAAAGTATTGGTAATTTACTAAATGACTTTTTATTTTTTGTAGTTGATAGCAATGGTCATCAGATGACTAGAGGTTGAATAACTTTAAAAGAATTGTAGATAGTACCTCTAAACAAGCGTATTATAATGTCTGCAAACTTTGATAGGTAACCAATTAGTGAAGACTGTCAACTATTAGTTGGATTTGTAGGAATGATTGCTCGTAATAGAATGAAATTGCCTATTCATTACAAAACATGGCATAAAATTCTAACAAAATTTAAGAATGATGCTTTAAACTTTATTGAGGTATTAGTATAATTAATTACATATCAGCATTATTAATTATTTTAAAATTGGTTTATCGATTGTAACTCTTTCTTTTTGTATTGTTATAGTCGATATTTTTACTTGAAATGCCTACTTCATTTGTGCTTAAGTCATTGAAAAAAAATAAAAAAAACTATAAGCATAATTTGAAGAAAAAGTATTTCGATCGAAATAGTACTGTAAAGGCCATAATCGAAAAGCTACCACATGATGTGATTAGGTGACAATATGAACAGTTAGTTAGATTTTGGTTTTCAAGAAAATGAGAGGTACTAATTTATAACTTTTAATATTATTTTTAATAATAAAGATGTTTTCTATTTTTAGTTAGTTTGATTTGTATTTCTACTTATATGTTTATTTGTTATGATAGGAAAAAGAAAAAAAATGGGATTGCTAGTAGAAAGTGACAAAAATATAGTCACACGAGTAGATAAAAAAGCTTTGTAAGAAAGCAAAAAGAAAAAGTAAGTTAAGCATTAAATGAGAAACTTGTGCTTTGTGTCTATTTAGAATTTTTTTTTTTTTTGCCATTAAAAGGCAAAAATAAAAAATTGTAGTTATTGTTCTGTTTTAGCAGTTTATATAACTTCAATTTGTGATATTAAATTTATTTTAATGATTGAACTTGGTTTCCACAATTGATATGTGTGAAAAGTTATGGTTTATTTTGTTTAGGATTTTTTGTGCCACTAAAAGATAAAAATATAAATTTACAGTTATTATTTTATTTTAACAGTTTAAATAGTTTCAATACATGATATTAAACTTGTCCAAATAATTGAACTTGATTTTCATGGTTGATATGTGTGAAAAAGTTTACGGTTTATATCTATTTAGGACTTTTTATGTCGTTA